ATGAAAGTTAGGCTCGTCCGGGATTTGAACCTGGGACCTCTCGCACCCGAAGCAAGAGTCATACCCCTAGACCAACGAGCCATGGAACATGGGTTTTCTTTTGGTGTGTGATGTGGAAACAAAACTACTGATGCAAAACACATGGAAAATATATGTGTTGAACCAAAATTAAAGCTGGACTCGTCCTGGATTTGAACCCGGGACCTCTCGCACCCTAAGCAAGAATCATACCCCTAGACCAACGAGCCATGGAACCTGGGTTTTATTTGGTGTGCAAAGTGGAAACAAAACTACAGATGCAACAAGGGTGGAAAATGTTTTTGTTGAACCATGAGGAAAGCTGGGCTCATCCGAGATTTGAACTCGGGACCTCTCGCACCCTAAGCAAGAATCATACCCCTAGACCAACAAGCCATGGAACCTGGGTTTTATTTTGTGTGCAATGTGGAAAGAAAACTACAGATGCAAAAAGAGTGGAAAATTTAGGTTTTAAACCATATTTAAAGATGGGCTCGCCCGGGATTGGAACCCAGGACCTCTCGCTTTCAAAGCGAGAATCATATCCCTAGACCAACAAGCCATGGGATATTGGTTTACTTTTGATGTGCAATGTGGAAACAAAACTACAGATGCAACAAGGTTGGAAAATTTAGTTGTTGAACCATAGTGAAAGATGGGCTCAACCGGGATTTGAACCCGGGACCTCTCGCACCCGAAGCAAGAATCATACCCCGAGACCAACGAGCCATGAAACATGGGCTTTTTTTCGTGTGCAATGTGGAAACAAAACTACAGATGCAACAAGGTTGGAACATTTAGTTGTTGAACCATAATGAAAGCTGGGCTCGTCCAGGATTTGAACCCGGGACCTCACACCCAAAGCCGGTGAATCATACCACTCAGACCCAAATTGGTTTCTAAGGTGTATGAGTTTTATTTGGTGTGCAAAGTGGAAAGAAAACTACAGCTGCAACAAAGAGTGGAAAATTGAGGTGTTGAACCATATTTAAAGATGGGCTCGCCCAGGATTTGAGCTCGGGACTTGAACCCGGGACCTCTCTCACTCAAAGCGAGAATCATATCCCTAGACCTACAAGCCATGGTGTATGGGATTTATTTGAAGTGCCAAAGTGGAAACAAAACTACAGATGCAACAAGGTTGGAAAATTTAGTAGTTGAACCATAATGAAAGCTGGGCTCGTCCGGGATTTGAACCCCGGACCTCTCGCACCTGAAGCAAGAGTCATACCCCTAGAACAACGAGCCATGGAACATGGGTTTTCTTTTGGTGTGTAATAAGGAAACAAAACTACTGATGCAAAACACATGAAAAACATAGGTGTTGAACCATATTTAAAGATGGGCTCGCCCGGGATTTGAGCTCGGGATTTGAACCCGGGACCTCTCGCACCCAAAGCGAGAATCATACCCCTAGACCAACGAGCCATGGTACCAGGGTTTTATTTGGTGTGAAAAGTGGAAACAAAACTACAGATGCAACAAGGGTGGAAAATGAATTAGTTGAACCATGAGGAAAGCTGGGCTCATCCGGGATTTGAACCCGGGACCTCTCGCACCCAAAGCAAGAATCTTACACCTAGACCAATGAGCCATGGAGTATGAGTTTTAGTTGTTGTGCAAAGTGGGAATAAAACTACAGATGCAAAAAGAGTGAAAAATTGAGGTGTTAAACCATATTTAAAGATTGCACGCCCGGGATTTGAGCCCGGGACTTGAACCCGGGACCTCTCGCACTCAAAGCGAGAATCATATCCCTAGACCAACGAGCCATGGTGTATGGGTTTTATTTGATGTGCCAAAGTGGAAACAAAACTACAGATGCAAAAAGAGTTGAAAATTTAGGTGTTAAACCATAGTTAAAGCTGGGTTCTTCCAGGATTTGAACCTGGGACCTCTCGCATTCAAAGCGAGAATCATACCCCTAGTCCAAAAAGCCATGGAATGTTGGTTTCCTTTTGGTGTGCAATGTGGAAACAAAACTACACATGCAACAAGATTGGAAAATTTAGTTGTTGAACCATAATGAAAGCTGGGCTCGTCTAGGATGTGAACCCAGGACCTCTCGCATCATAAGCGAAAATCATACCCCTAGACCAACGAGCCATGGAACATGGGTTTTCTTTTGGTGTGCAATGTGGAAACAAAACTACAGATGCAACAAGGTTGGAAAATTTAGTTGTTGAACCATAATGAAAGCTGGGCTCGTCCAGGATTTGAACCCGGGACCTCTCGCACCCAAAGCGAGAATCATACCCCTAGACCAACGAGCCATGGAACCTGGGTTTTCTTTGGTGTGCAAAGTGGAAACAAAACTACAGATGCAACAAGGGTGGAAAATGTATTTGTTGAACCATGAGGAAAGATGGGCTCATCCGGGATTTGAACCCGGGACCTCTCGCAACCAAAGCGAGAATCATACCCCTAGACCAATGAGCCATGGAACGTGGATTTTATTTGCTGTGGAAAAAGGAAACAAAACTACAGATGCAACAAGTTAGGAAATTTAGTTGTTGAACCATTATGAAAGCTGGGCTCGCCCAGGGTTTGAACCCAGGACCTCTCTCACTCGAAGCAAGAATCATACCCCTAGACCAACGAGCCATGGAACATGCATACTCTTTTGGTGTGCAAAGTGGAAACAAAACTACAGATGCAACAAGGGTGAAAAATTTAGGTGTTGAACCATAATTAAACCCGGGACCACTCGCACCCAAAGCGAGAATCATACCCCTAGACCAACGAGCCATGGAACATGGGTTTTCTTTTGGTGTGCAATGTGGAAACAAAACCACTGATGCAAAACACATGGAAAATATAGGTGTTGAACCAAAATTAAAGCTGGGCTCGTCCAAGATTTGAACCCAGGACCTCTCGCACCCGAAGCAAGAATCATACCCCGAGACCAACGAGCCATGGAACATGGGTTTTCTTTTCGTGTGCAATGTGGAAACAAAACTACAGATGCAACAAGGTTGGAAAATTTAGTTGTTGAACCTTAATGAAAGCTGGGCTTGTCCAGGATTTGAACCCAGGACCTCTCACACCCAAAGCGAGAATCATACCCCTAGACCAAAGAGCCATGGTGTTTGAGCTTTATTTGCTGTGCAAAGTGGAAAGAAAACTACAGCTGCAACAAAGAGTGGAAAATTGAGGTGTTAAACCATATTTTAAGATGGGCTCGCCCGGGATTTGAGCTCGGGACTTGAACCCGGGACCTCTCGCAATCAAGGCGAGAATCATATCCCTAGACCAACGAGCCATGGTGTATGGGATTTATTTGATGTGCCAAAGTGGAAACAAAACTACCGATGCAACAAGGTTGGAAAATTTAGTTGTTGAACCATAATGAAAGCTGGGCTCATCCGGGATTTGAACCCGGGACCTCTCGCACCCGAAGCAAGAGTCATACCCCTACACCAATGAGCCACGGAACATGGGGTTTCTTTTGGTGTGTAATGTGGAAACAAAACTACTGATGCAAAACACATGGAAAACATAGGTGTTGAACCAAAATTACAGCTGGGCTCGTCCGGGATTTGAACACGGGACCTCTCGCACCCTAAGCAAGAAGCATACCCCTAGACCAACGAGCCTTGGAATCTTGGTTTTATTTGGTGTTCAAAGTGGAAACAAAACTACAGATGCAACAAGGTTGGAAAATTTAGTTGTTGAACCATAATGCAAGCTGGGCTCGTCCGGGAATTAAACCCGGGACCTCTCACACCCTAAGCAAGAATCATACCCCTAGACCAACGAGCCTTGGAATCTTGGTTTTATTTGGTGTTCAAAGTGGAAACAAAACTACAGATGCAACAAGGTTGGAAAATTTAGTTGTTGAACCATAATGCAAGCTGGGCTCGTCCGGGAATTAAACTCGGGACCTCTCGCACCCTAAGCGAGAATCATACCCCTAGACCAACAAGCCATGGAACATAGGAATTCTTTTGGTGTGCAATGTGGAAACAAATCTACAGATGCAACAAGGGTGAAAAATTTAGGTGTTGAACCATAATTAAAGCTGGGCTCGTCCTGGATTTGAACCCGCGACCTCTCAAACTGTAAGCGAGAATCAAACCCCTAGACCAACGAGCCTAGGCGTATGGGTTTTTATTTGTTGTGCAAAGTGGAAAGAAAACTACAAATGCAACAAGAGTGGAAAATTTAGTTGTTGAACAATAATGAAAGCTGGGCTCGTCCGGGATTTGAACCCGGGACCTCTCGCACTCGAAGCAAGAATCATACCCCTAGTCCAACGAGCCATGGAACATGGGTTTTCTTTTGGTGTGCAATGTGGAAACAAAACTATTGATGCAAAACACATGGAAAATATAGGTGTTGAACCAAAATTAAAGCTGGGCTCGTCCAAGATTTGAACCCGGGACCTCTCGCACCCAAAGCGATAATCATACCCCTAGACCAACTAGCCATGGAACCTGGGTTTTATTGCAAGTGGAAACAAAACTACAGATATAACAAGTTTGGAAAATGTAGTTGTTGAACCATAATGAAAGCTGGGCTCGCCCAGGGTTTGAATCCTGGACCTCTCGCACCCGAAGCAAGAATCATACCCCAAGACCAACGAGCCATGGAAAATGCGTTTTCTTTTGGTGTGCAATGTGGAAACAAAACTACAAATGCAACAAGGTTGGAAAATTTTGTTGATGAACCATAATGTAAGCTGGGCTCATCTGGGATTTGAACCAAGGACCTATCGCACCCTAAGCGAGGATAATAGCCCTAGACCAAGGAGCCTTGGAACCTTGGTTTTATTTGGTGTCCAAAGTGGAAACAAAACTACAGATTCAACAAGATTGGAAAATTTAGTTGTTGAACCATTATGAAAGCTGGGCTCGTCTGGGATCTGAACCCAGGACCTCTCTCACTCGAAGCAAGAATCATACCCCTAGACCAACGAGCCATGGAACATGCGTACTCTTTTGGTGTGCAAAGTGGAAACAAAACTACAGATGCAACAAGGGTGAAAAATTTAGGTGTTGAACCATAAATAAACCCGGGACCTCTCGCACCCAAAGCGAGAATCATACCCCTAGACCAACGAGCCATGGAACATGGGTTTCTTTTGGTGTGCAATGTGGAAACAAAACTACTGATGCAAAACACATGGAAAATATAGGTGTTGAACCAAAATTAAAGCTGGGCTAGTCCGGGATTTGAACCCGGGACCTCTCGCACCCAAAGCGAGAATCATACCCCTAGACCAACGAGCCATGGAACATGGGTTTTCTTTTGGTGTACAATGTGGAAACAAAACTACAGATGCAACAAGGTTGGAAAATTTAGTTGTTGAACCATAATGAAAGCTGGGCTCGTCCGGGATTTGAACCCGGGACCTCTCACACCCAAAGCGAGAATCATACCCCTAGACCAATGAGCCATTAAACTTTGGTTTTATTTGGTGTGCAAAGTGGAAAGAAAACTACAGCTGCAACAAAGAGTGGAAAATTTAGGTGTTGAACCATAATTAAAGCTGGGCTCGTCCAAGATTTGAACCCGGGACCTCTCACACCCAAAGCGAGAATCATACCCCTAGACCAACGAGCCATGGAACTTTGGCTTTATTTGGTGTGCAAAGTGGAAAGAAAACTACAGATGCAAAAAGAGTGGAAAATTTAGGTGTTAAACCATAGTTAAAGCTGGGTTCTTCCAGGATTTGAACATGGGACCTCTCGCATTCAAAGCAAGAATCATACCCCTAGTCCAACAAGCCATGGAATGCTGGTTTCCTTTTGGTGTGCAATGTGGAAACAAAACTACAGATGCAACAAGGTTGGAACATTTAGTTGTTGAACCATAGTGAAAGCTGGGCTCGACTGAGATTTAAACCCGGGACCTCTCGCACCCGAAGCAAGAATCATACCCCGAGACCAACGAGCCATGGAATATGGATTTTCTTTTGGTGTGCAATGTGGAAACAAAACTACAGATGCAACAAGGTTGGAAAATTTAGTTGTTGAACCATAATGCAAGCTGGGCTCGTCCGGGAATTAAACCCGGGACCTCTCGCACCCTAAGCGAGAATCATACCCCTAGACCAACAAGCCATGGAACATAGAAATTATTTTGGTGTGCAATGTGGAAACAAAACTACAGATGCAACAAGGGTGAAAAATTTAGGTGTTGAACCATAATTAAAGCTGGGCTTGTCCTGGATTTGAACCCAGGACCTCTTGCACCCAAAGCAAGAATCATACCCCTAGACCAACGAGCCTAGGCGTATGGATTTTTATTTGTTGTGCAAAGTGGAAAGAAAACTACAGATGCAACAAGAGTGGAAAATTTAGTTGTTGAACCATAATGAAAGCTGGGCTGGTCCGGGATTTGAACCAGGGACCTCTCGCACCCAAAGCGAGAATCATTCCCCTAGACCAACGAGCCATGGTACCTGGGTTTTATTTGGTGTGCAAAGTGGAAACAAAACTACAGATGCAACAAGGGTGGAAAATGTATTTGTTGAACCATGAGGAAAGCTGGGCTCATCCGGGATTTGAACCCGGGACCTCTCGCACCCAAAGCGAGAATCATACCCCTAAACCAACGAGCCATGGAACCTGGGTTTTATTTGGTGTGCAAAGTGGAAACAAAACTACAGATGCAACAAGATTGGAAAATGTATTTGTTGAACCATGAGGAAAGCTGGGCTCGTCCGGGATTCGAACCCGGGAGCTCTCGCACCCAAAGCGAGAATCATACCCCTAGACCAACGAGCCATGGAACCTGGGTTTTATTTGGTGTGCAAAGTGGAAACAAAACTAGAGATGCAACAAGGGTTTAAAATGTATTTGTTGAACCATGAGGAAAGCTTGGCTCATCCGGGATTCGAACCCGGGACCTCTCGCGCCCAAAGCGAGAATCATACTCCTAGACCAACGAGCCATGGAACCTGGTTTTATTTGGTGTGCAAAGTGGAAACAAAACTACAGATGCAACAAGGGTGGAAAATGTATTTGTTGAACCATGAGGAAAGCTGGGCTCATCCGGGATTTGAAACCGGACCTCTCGCACCCTAAGCAAGAATAACACCTAGACCAACAAGCCATGGGATGGTTTTAGTTGGTGTGCAAAGTGGAAAGAAAACTACAGATGCAAAAAGAGTGGAAAATTAGGTGTTAAAGCATATTAAAGATGGGCTCGCCCGGGATTTCGGGACTTGAACCCGGGACCTCTGCACTCAAAGCGAGAATCATATCCCTAGACCAACGAGCCATGGTGTATGGGTATTCTTTTCGATGTGCCAAATGTGGAAACAAAACTACAGATGCAACAAGGTTGGAAAATTTAGTTGTTGAACCATAATGAAAGCTGGGCTCAACAGGATTTGAACCCTGGACCTCTCGCACCCAAAGCGAGAATCATACCCCTAGACCAACGAGCCATGGAACCTGGGTTTTATTTGGTGTGCAAAGTGGAAACAAAACTACAAATGCAACAAGAGTGGAAAATTTAGTTGTTGAACCATAATGAAAGCTGGGCTCGTCCGGGATTTGAACCAGGACCTCTCACACCCAAAGCGAGAATCATACCCCTAGACCAACGAGCCATGGAATTTGGTTTTATTTGGTGTCAAAGTGGAAAGAAAACTACACAACAAGATGGAAAATTTAGGTGTTGAACCATATTAAAGCTGGGCTCATCCAGGATTTGAACCCGGGACCTCTCACACCCGAAGCAAGAATCATACCCCTAGACCAACGAGCCATGGAACATGGTTTCTTTTGGTGTGCAAAGTGGAAACAAAACTACAGATGCAACAAGGGTGAAAAATTTAGGTGGGCTTGTCCGGGATTTGAACCCGGGACCTCTCGCACCCTAAGCAAGAAGCATACCCCTAGACCAACGAGCCTTGGAATCTTGGTTTTATTTGGTGTTCAAAGTGGAAACAAAACTACAGATGCAACAAGGTTGGAAAATTTAGTTGTTGAACCATAATGCAAGCTGGGCTCGTCCGGGAATTAAACTCGGGACCTCTCGCACCCTAAGCGAGAATCATACCCCTAGACCAACAAGCCATGGAACATAGGAATTCTTTTGGTGTGCAATGTGGAAACAAATCTACAGATGCAACAAGGGTGAAAAATTTAGGTGTTGAACCATAATTAAAGCTGGGCTCGTCCAGGATTTAAACCCGGGACCTCTCGCTCTCAAAGCGAGAATCAAACCCCTAGACCAACGAGCCTAGGCGTATGGGTTTTTATTTGTTGTGCAAAGTGGAAAAAAAACTACAAATGCAACAAGAGTGGAAAATTTAGTTGTTGAACAATAATGAAAGCTGGGCTCATCCGGGATTCGAACCCGGGACCTCTCGCACCCAAAGCGAGAATCATTCCCCTAGAACAACGAGCCATGGAACCTGGGTTTTATTTGGTGTGCAAAGTGGAAACAAAACTACAGATGCAACAAGGGTGGAAAATGTATTTGTTGAACCTTAATGAAAGCTGGGCTTGTCCAGGATTTGAACCCAGGACCTCTCACACCCAAAGCGAGAATCATGCCCCAGACCAACGAGCCATGGTGTATGAGTTTTATTTGGTGTGCAAAGTGAAAAGAAAACTACAGATGCAACAAGGTTGGAAAATTTAGTTGTTAAACCATAATGAAAGCTGGGCTAGTCCGGGATTTGAACCCGGGACCTCTCGCACCCGAAGCAAGAGTCATACCCCTAGACCAACGAGCCTTGGAATCTTGGTTTTATTTGGTGTTCAAAGTGGAAACAAAACTACAGATGCAACAAGGTTGGAAAAATTAGTTGTTGAACCATAATGCAAGCTGGGCTCGTCCGGGAATTAAACCCGAGACCTATCACACCCTAAGCGAGAATCATACCCATAGACCAACGAGCCTTGGAATCTTGGTTTTATTTGGTGTTCAAAGTGGAAACAAAACTACAGATGCAACAAGGTTGGAAAATTTAGTTGTTGAACCATAATGCAAGCTGGGCTCGTCCGGGAATTAAACTCGGGACCTCTCGCACCCTAAGCGAGAATCATACCCCTAGACCAACAAGCCATGGAACATAGGAATTCTTTTGGTGTGCAATGTGGAAACAAATCTACAGATGCAACAAGGGTGAAAAATTTAGGTGTTGAACCATAATTAAAGCTGGGCTCGTCCTGGATTTGAACCCGCGACCTCTCGAACTGTAAGCGAGAATCAAACCCCTAGACCAACGAGCCTAGTCGTATGGGTTTTTATTTGTTGTGCAAAGTGGAAAGAAAACTACAAATGCAACAAGAGTGGAAAATTTAGTTGTTGAACAATAATGAAAGCTGGGCTCGTCCGGGATTTGAACCCGGGACCTCTCGCACTCGAAGCAAGAATCATACCCCTAGACCAACGAGCCATGGAACATGGGTTTTCTTTTGGTGTGCAATGTGGAAACAAAACTATTGATGCAAAACACATGGAAAATATAGGTGTTGAACCAAAATTAAAGCTGGGCTCATCCAGGATTTGAACCCGGGACCTCTCGCACCCAAAGCGAGAATCATACCCCTAAACCAACGAGCCATGGAATGTGGGTTTTATTTGGTGTGTCAAATGGAAACAAAACTACAGATGAAAAACACATGGAAAATATAGGTGTTGAACCATAATGAAAGCTGGGCTCGTCCGGGATTTGAACCCGGGACCTCTCGCACCCTAAGCGAGAATCATACCCCTAAACCAACGAGCCATGGAATGTGGATTTTATTCGGTGTGCCAAATGGAAACAAAACTACAGATGCAAAACACATGGAAAATATAGGTGTTGAACCATAATGAAAGCTGGGCTCGTCCGGGATTTGAACCCGGGACCTCTCGCACCCGAAGCAAGAATCATACCCCAAGACCAACGAGCAATGGAAAATGCGGTTTCTTTTGGTGTGCAATGTGGAAACAAAACTACAAATGCAACAAGGTTGGAAAATTTTGTTGATGAACCATAATGTAAGCTGGGCTCATCTGGTATTTGAACCAGGGACCTCTCGCACCCTAAGCGAGGATAATAGCCCTAGACCAAGGAGCCTTGGAACCTTGGTTTTATTTGGTGTCCAAAGTGGAAAGAAAACTACAGCTGCAAAAAGAGTGGAAAATTTAGGTGTTGAACCATAATTAAAGCTGGGCTCGTCCTGGATTTGAACCCGCGACCTCTCGAACTGTAAGCGAGAATCGTACCCCTAGACCAACGAGTCATGTTGTATTGGTTTTATTTGCTGTGCAAAGTGCAAAAAAACTACAGATGCAACAAGGGTGAAAAATTTAGGTGTTGAACCATAATTAAAGCTGGGCTCGTCCAGGATTTGAACCCGGGACCTCTCACACCCAAAGCGAGAATCATACCCCTAGACCAACGAGCCATGGAACTTTGGTTTTATTTGGTGTGCAAAGTGGAAAGAAAACTACAGCTGCAACAAAGAGTGGAAAATTTAGGTGTTGAACCATAATTAAAGCTGGGCTCGTCCTGGATTTGAACCCGGGACCTCTCGAACTGTAAGCGAGAATCATTCCCCTAGACCAACGAGCCATGGAACCTGGGTTTTATTTGGTGTGCAAAGTGGAAACAAAACTACAGATGCAACAAGGGTGGAAAATGTATTTGTTGTACCATGAGGAAAGCTGGGCTCATCCGGGATTTGAACCCGGGACCTCTCACACCCTAAGCAAGAATAACACCCCTAGACCAACGAACCATGGAACCTGGGTTTTATTTGGTGTGCAAAGTGGAAAGAAAACTACAGATGCAAAAAGAGTGGAAAATTTAGGTGTTAAACCATAGTTAAAGCTGGGTTCTTCCAGGATTTGAACCTGGGACCTCTCGCATTCAAAGCGAGAATCCTACCCCTAGTCCAACAAGCCATGGAATATTGGTTTCCTTTTGATGTATAATGTGGAAACAAAACTACAGATGCAACAAGGTTGAAAAATTTAGTTGTTGAACCATAGTGAAAGATGGGCTCA